TTTGCTCTGATTTTGAATTCTTTTGACGTTTTTCCATCCTTCTCATCTATCAAATCTCTAACGGTTGCACCGCACAGTTTTCCATTGGCGTCCTTTTCCAATCCGGTGACTTCGAGATGATTTACCACGGTACCTCCGTATAACGCAGCAGTCATAGCCAACGAGACATTCATTCTCGAATCATTATGAGCGCCATCGTAATAAACCAGAGCTCCGACCAAATTATCCTTCTTCAACATAGGGAAAGCATCGAGAGCCTTACTCCTCGTCAAAAAGTAACTCGTTTCGATACCCTCACTTCCAGCCAAGAAATCATATGCCTTTGTACCTGCCCAATAATAAGGTGCTTTCCACCATTTATCCAAAGGCAGCATAATCGGTAACCAACTCGACAAATGTGGTGCTGTATCCAAAAAGTATTTTCGTTCCCGCAATGCCTCCTTCACCAACGCATATTGATTATAGTCCAACTCCCACACTGCCTTTTCCAAATATCGCACACCTCCATGTACCAGTTTTGTACTCTTGGAACTTGTGCCACTGCTGAAATCATCTCTTTCGACCACTGCCACTTTCAATCCGCGCGTTGCCGCATCGAGGGCTACACCTGCACCTGTGGCTCCGGCTCCTATGACCAACAAATCATATACATCGTCTTCGTTCTGCGGCACACTGATGGAACCTTGAGATCCTCCACTTCTCTTCAAATCTGCAATTTGTTCTAGTCTGCTCTTGATCTTGGGGAATCTAGGAGGAATAAAGTGGCCATCTGCGCCGAAAGGAGGAACGACTGCGGAATCTGAACCGGGAATGTTTCGTGGTCGGTATGTGTAGTAGAGGACGCCACCACCGACTGATGTAGCTCCAATTGTGTATAATAAAGGTTTTGCGAGGCGCTGACGGAACGCCATTATCAATTAATGAAGTATGCGGATGGGAAATTCGTGGGGAGATGGAGAAGAGGAGCAAGAGGAGGTTGCGAGGAATGGAGAGTTGGGGGAGAGTTGGGGGAGAGTTGAAGAGTTGGAGAGTTATGGAGCGGCAAAGTTGTTCTGATCTCAGGCAAAGTCCAAGTGGAGATTTTAATTCGTGTTGGGTTGGTTGTGTATGATGATGAAAGCGCCTGGTATGCCAAACTTGCTAAGTATTAGCTACTAAGTATTAATTGAATGCAGATCAGCCCGCTTAATTGATCCAACTAACAGATTTCAATTGAGTTATGAAGTCGGGAGGGATATCAACCAAAAATCAAAAGGAATTATTCCAAGGGTGGTTTCAAAGCTTGGTTCTTTGAGGAGGGGTGGTGGTGTGGTATTGAGGTTGGGTTGGGAGACTTGAAAGAATCATTAAATGCAAATGATTGAATTCGAGAATAAAATCTGGAATGTCGAATTGTATGAATCTTATATATGTACCTAGGTAGGTGTTGAATGATTCAATAGATGATATTTGATAATAGAAGAAGAAAATGTCAAAGGATCAATCATCTATTTACATTGAGGGGAAAGTTATATGTATATGTATATTCATGTCAATATCAAGTTCAAGATCAAGTTCAAGATCAATATCAATTCAATATCTAATACTATAACCTTATGTCTTTTGTTTAAAGTATCATTTTCTACCTCACCCTTCACTACCCTTCACTTTCACTCCCACCAAACCTCTCCCACCATTCAATCAAGGAACGTGCACCCGGATGTACATATTGGGCCAAGCGCATTTCACAAGTTCTGATCTTTCTCCGTTACACCATTACACACCATTACGCCCCTGTTCCTAAATCTTCCATTCTTCCAAGAAATTCTTCCTCCAATGGAAAAAGAGGAATGTTGGGCTCTGCGCTTGCATAATCTGGGTGCACATGATAGAAGATGGAAATATTACCGCCAACGTACTACGAGTCTACGAGTACACTGGCTGAGACTGGTAGGTACCGGTAGGTAGGTATGTGAAGAGAAGATCGAGAACAGCAATAACATGGATGACATGAATAGGCGCGGAATAACCGGAAAAAGGGGCTTACATCTCTCGTAGGTCTCTAGGTGTACTATATAATTACTCCACCCAAAAAGTCATTCATTCAATCAAATCAAAATTTATTTAATCCGGAAAAGTCATTCATTCCACTTCTTCTTGAACTATGGGAAATGGGAACACTTTATGAGTAAAAGCACTCCAGGACTTGGAAATTACCCCACCTTTTTCTTGTCCCATGGGACATTTTTCTCTGGGGCTCTCGAGGGGCTGAGATGTTGTCCATGTTGATCATTTATGTTCAGTGGCTCGAGTGCTTATTTATACTTCGTATACCGGAATACCACCGAGTCGAATAAGCTGATATCATATATACATACCTTGGACCCTTTCCGGCCGATGGGATACATGGCATTTATGATTTCGAAAGCAGTCCGAAGATCGTGATATCAAACTCAAATTTTATATATTCCTGTCAGTGTCAGACACACATGATTGTTGCAGTTCTAAGCGATCTTTTGAATTTGACACATAGCTTGTTTCTCGGTGCCCGTATTCGGCTTGGGATATCGGTGAGTTAAACTGCACGGGTTTCCTGAAATCATTAGCTCAATGATGATCACCAAATAACCAAGATCTACATGTTTGGGGACAACAGATCACCATTTTCTCACTTACTCAGTTATCCGACCGTTCTATATATATGTTCTCGAGCGCAGCGAGGTAAAGGGGTTTTGGGGGCTTGCCCCCATCAATTCAAAAATCATGCATGAAATAGAATGTCGCTCCGCTGGCCCTTCGGGGACCACTGCCGTGGAGGCAGGCTATTTTGAAAGGGTTTCATCTGTTATCCACTCGTGAATGCTATACGAGTCATACTCCGTATATATAGCTGTGGAAGAACTTAGGATTTGAGGATCGGATCTAAATGCTGACCTCTATGTCGGACACTCAAGAGAATTTGTTCGACTTTGGTGTTGTCTCCATCCATGAGTCCAGCAACAAATGAATATGCTTGTAAGCTTCATCCGGAAAGTATCAGTATAGGTGAGAAGAGAATCGGAAAATCAAACGAGAAGTTGGATTGCTGCCTATTAACATTCAAATGTATCGGCTACCGACGGCAGGCAGCAGGAGCGAGAGAATGGGGCGAAGTATGATTATTCCAACATTACCTTCCCGAACCATTCACATGGATTCGAAATGGAAAGTCAACACACCACCACATATGAATACATATAATCGCCCTGTTTCAAAATATCACGAAGGAAGCGGCGGCCTTCATTTGAAGCCGACAATCCGCAGCTTCATGGGAAAATCGCTACCTTTTGGAAAGTTGGTAATGTGGATGTCAGAGTAACGAAGTCATATCACACACACCAGATATCAATCTCAGGGTCCTTTCGATATTAGGTTCGACTTCGAGGCTGCATACTTCTTCTGATGTCGAATCTTACTGGCCCTTGGCGCTCGATTGGGGTGAAATATTCCATGGCCGCAGGATTATTGCGAATTGCCAGACACGTAAACATCCGATCTTACCGAGGATATGGATCTGGGAGTCATCACTGAATGGCATACTACCCGATAAGCTGTCGAGTAGGCATACTTTAACTGTATACAAGTAGAGCAAAGCCCCGTCATGCAAGAAGCCGGTTGTAGCAAACCACAGAAGAGCTTTCATAGAACCTGGAGGAATGCCTCCTTCAAACCTCAAGGATTCCAGGTTTGTTAGGGCTCCCGATCTCAACTCTAGCTGCGCATAAAAATGCCCTGCACACCATGAGCGTACACGGTTCCCGCGTTTGTTCATTGATATAATTACACGCAACAAACGCCGTTAGCAGATGAGGGTAACATTGATATCGGCAAGGTGCATCGAGGAAATGAGATCTCTAGGATTGACAGAATCCTGCAAGGTTGCTCAAGCTAGCGCCGGCACTGTATTAATATCGAACTTCGATCCCTTTAGCTTCCTTCAAACGTTTCAACCAATAAGGCAAGGAATCCTGAACCGATATATCGGATGAGATACCAACGCTTCCTGAACATTCCCGAGTCATCAAAAGAATCAGTCAAGCTGTAAGATTGATTTATCCCTAGGCAATCTTCTCTCATGGCTTGGCATCGAACGATATTAATCAAATAATTGATTGTTCGTAGGTAAGTGATCAAGTGAGGATCAAATGAGAGGAAGGAATCCCATCAATATCAATTCCTGATATGTCTTGTCATTTCAAGGCCTCGGAGTGTAATTTTCAAGTTACATAATACTATTTGAATTACTGAATTGATATTGAATCGATGATTGGTCAGGAAGTCGGAGTTGAATGTACCGTGTGGCATGATTAATGAATGAAGTGAATTTTTTATCCTCGATGTTCTTGAGTATGGGGTGATGGATGGGCGAGATGGAGGGTGCAGGTGATGGTGATGGTGATGGTGCGGCTCTTTCCTTTTGAAAGGAATTCTCTGATTGGTCATCACGGAGAGGAAGAACACAAAACAGTGGTAGGAAGATTATCGTCCCTTCTCTATTTGATATCGGGACGGAACATTCAAGAAAATCAAAACTACCCGAGGGTCCGAGAGTAGTTTTCGGCATTGCTTGGGTGGTATTTCGAAATTGAATTGAACGCTTATCACTTCTCTCCTCACTCCCTCACTTCTATATCAAACCGCTTTGCGTTCGCGTTCACCTTCAACTTCAAAAGCTTAATTTTGGTCAAATTGATTCCGTCAATTTGAACAGAGCAACAAAATCATCTTCTCCTCTCTGCTTTCTACCCCTCTTCTTCCTTCCTACTTCACAATCTTCAACCCTTTAATCTTCAAACCTTCAGCCGTCAAACCTTCAACCGTCAAACCTTCAACCGTCAAACCTTCACCTCTCAAAATTGAACCTTTTGAGTTTGAATTCGATCTTTATTTAGATCGTCAGCACAAAAACCCTTTCTCATACCTGATTTCTTCGAATAACCCTCAAGCCATTCGAAGAAGATCACAATAGTAAAGTCTTCATCATGACCGACCATTTACAACCACAGTCCGCCATTTCCAATTCTTCCTACTATAGCACGGCAACTATCAAGCCAGTTCCTGCACCTCCATCGGTTTCCAGTGCTCCACCAGGATGGCTCTACAAACGCATTCGCATTGGTAAATATCTTCTTCCCTACTACGCGTCGCCACAAATTCAACTGGTCTTGGTCGCACTTGTATGCTTCCTCTGTGTTGGCATGTATAATGCGCTCAGTGGTCTTGGTGGTGGTGGTCAAATTTCTGCAAAACCAGCAGACAATGCAAACTCAGCTCTCTATTCCACCTTCTCGGTCGTCGGTTTCTTTGCAGGTACCTTTGCAAATCGTCTCGGAATTAGACTCACTTTGAGTTTGGGTGGATTGGGCTATTGCGTCTATGCTTCAAGCTATCTATGCTATAGTCATACCCAAAACACTGGCTATGTTATCTTCGCAGGTGCATTGCTTGGTGTTTGCGCTGGTCTTCTCTGGACAGCACAAGGTGCCATTATGATGTCTTATCCACCGGAAGAATCAAAAGGAAAATATATCTCATGGTTCTGGTCAATCTTCAATCTTGGAGGTGTCTTTGGTGCTTTGGTAAGTTCAATGCGCGGATCCTTTATGACTTACGTACTAATAATTTACTTTAGATCCCTCTTGCCTTGAACATCAAAGACACTTCAAATCATGTTGTTAGCGACGGTACATACATTGGTTTCATCATTCTCATGTTCATTGGAGCACTCAGCGCGTTGTGTCTATGCGATGCGCATAAAGTTCGACGTGCCGATGGATCTCATGTCATTCTCATGAAAAATCCAACTTGGAACACAGAAATCTGGGGACTTTGGTACACACTAAGGAATAACGTCTATGTCTTCCTCCTGTTTCCAATGTTCTTTGCCTCCAATTGGTTTTACACATATCAATTCAATGGTGTCAACGGCGCACATTTCAATACACGAACTCGAGCCCTTAACAACATTTTGTATTGGTTCGCACAAATCATTGGTGCTTTCTTATCTGGTTACGCCTTGGATATTCAAAGATTCAAGAGAACCACCAGAGCTAGAGCTGGCTTGATTGTACTAATCATCCTGACTGCCGCTATTTGGGGTGCAGGTTATGGTTTTCAATCTAGTGTTCCGGATCGTGATGTTACTGGTAAACTTGATTACGAAGGCAAGATGGATTGGACAAGCGAAGGTTACGCTGAAGGTTTGGTGTTATATATCGCCTATGGATTCTATGATGCTGTCTGGCAATTGTCTGTTTACTGGTATGTATTGTTGTTCCAAAATTGTTCATCAAAATTAACACCTGATAGGTTCATGGGTGCACTTTCCAATTCCGGTAGAAAGACAGCAAACTTCGCTGGTTTCTATAAGGGTATCCAATCTGCTGGTGCTGCCATTGCTTGGCGTATTGACGCAATGGATTATCCATACCTTACTCAATTCGCCATTACATGGAGTCTTCTTGCTGGTTCTCTTGTTGTTGCAGCACCTGTTATCTTCTTGAACATCAAAGAAGCTACATCAATTGATGATGATATCCTTGATACTGATCTTAACTATGCGGATATTATCCCTCAAGCTATTCTTCTTGATGAAGATAAAAATTATCATGGTGGTCATAGCAGTTCAACTGACACACGTCGTCCATTTAATCCCACCACGGATGATATGGAACTTCCTCACCTTCGACATGAGAAGAATTCCGAAGATTTGGTTTAAATCGGTCAAAAGATCCAAGAGTAGGTTATCACTGTTAGCAAAGTCTATCCTCTCTTGGAGATGACTGGTTTCTTTTTTTGTTTACAATGTCAATGTTTATTTGCTGATCGGAGGATGGAGAAATTGAAGGTTAAACTTCATTTTCGGTTATTGTTTCTCGTCACACAACACTTTTTACGAGCGACTGATTGTGCACGAGTACCGAGTATATGCTTGAGATAATATTTTCGATTTCGATTTCGACGCGGACGTTTCTCGTTTTTCTGATATTTTACAATGCGACAAAACGATATACGGTTTAACGGTTCGGGAATTTGCTTTTTTTCATGTGTATGGTTGTGGAAAATGGATGTGGGATGCGAGTTCTTAAAAAAAAAAAAAAAGCAAATTGCGAATAAAGGACCAATGTTATATCAGAATGGATGGTTGAGATTTTTGCGATTGAAAAAATGGATTGTACGAATGGGGTGGGTGGTTTTATGGTATGGCTAGGATTCAAAGCATATACTTGTGGTAATGATTCTTCGGATGGATTCAAAACTTGAAGTGGATACTTTATACTTTTACCTCTAGAAGTACCACGGATAGAACTGATCGAAATTCATGAGTTTCGAAATTCTTTTAGATACTTGATGCTTGATGTTTGTTGCTTCAAATGATTTGCTTATTAGAGCATTGAGCATTGAGTTATTACAGATTGAGCAGATACTCTGGGTAGTGAGTGATAGTGATGGTGGTAGTGGTTGTGGTGGAGTAGATAGTTAATTTATGCGTGTTTTTTATTATAATGATTGGGGTGGTGAAGATGATATGATAATGATAATGATGATGATATTGTGTGTTGCTGTGTAGGTGGGTGTTTATGAGTATCTGTAATGAGAAGAGAGTGTGAAATGAATTGTGGTGACTAGGTATCTTTAGGGCTGAATAGGTATTTGGGTAGTTGGTGAGTGTGGTGGGGTGGGGTGGTGTGGTATGTTAAATCATATTTTATTATATTATATTATATTATACTAAATGAAGAGACTACTTAGTTATGGGAATTCTACGGGAATTCTGGAGGAGGATTGGGATTGGGAGAGGGAGAGGGAGAGGGAGAGGGAGAGGGAGAGGGAGAGGGAGAGGGAGAGGGAGAGGGAGAGGGAGAGGGAGAGGGAGAGGGAGAGGGAGAGGGAGAGAGAATTAGTAAGTTGACCGGGAAGATAAGGAGTCGAAATAGAGCTGAGATTATATTAGGGAGTAAAGATGTTTTAATAATTATGATTGTAATTGAGATTGTAATGGAAAGTATATAATTAGATATTAGATATTAGATATATAAAAGAAACAATTACTTTGATTTCTGATTCTTTGATTGTTGATTTTGGAGTGTAGATTTTAATTTTTTTTTTATTGAAAGTTTTTAGGTGGGGGGGGGGGGGGGGAGGTGATCGGGATGAGGTAGTTATAATCATGTGTAGGTATGTGTATGTGTAGAATCGAATTTTACGAAATGCGATGGTGATGGGGATGAGGATAACGATAATGATAATGATGTGTATAATAACACTGAAAAATGACATTGAAAATGATATTGAAAATGACATTGAAAATGACAATGACAATGACAGTGATATGATACGAGACGATAAGATATCATCATTAATGGAGAAGCATCTATATAGAGCAATTTCAAAGCATAATCTATAAATATGAAATCTTCATCTCTATTTTTATCTTTATCTTGATACTTATTTTAATATCTAAGATTTGGGATGTAGATGGAGATGGAGATGGAGATGGAGATAGAGATGAAGATGGAGATAGAAATAGAGATGGAGATAAAGATAGAAATAGAAATAAAAATAGAGATAGAGATGAAAATAGAAATGGAAATGGAGATGGAAATAGAGAGTTTGTGGGTTTATATAGGTTTGATGGGAGTTGGTGAAAGTTGATAGGAGGTATAAGGGATTGGAGGGTGGAATTGAAGACAATTGTTGGTAATATTGGAAATGGTATGAAGTGGGATTGGAGAGTATGGAGTATAAGAAGACTTCAATATTCGGGGTAAGAAAGCTGGAGTTCTGGATAGATTTAATGTTTGTGTGGAGATGTGGATTGGAAGTATAGTGGAAGTGGAGTGTGGTATCATGAATGGAATACTTCGGGTTATTTGAAGAACTTTGAAGTATAAAAGAGATGTTTTTTGACTGTAATAATTAGAACATAAGATCATGACGATCCTGAGCGAATTATTAATGATGTGGATCTCAGAGATAGCTGTCAAATTTTGCGGAATCGATATTCTGAACAAAGGGGTTCTGGGCTGGTTATAATCTAAGATCTCGTGGGTTCGTAGGAGTTTCGATGAAGATGATATTTAAGGATGTTAATCTATTGACGACCGAAGAAAATGAAGGAAGATAACAGTGACAATAGTGAGAAAATAGTCAATACCAATGACAATAAGAAGAGATGGAATATATATTATATATACATTTTCACTAATAGCAAAACGCAAAAGTTCCCCGGGTTGGGATAATGTCCCCACGACTGATTTTTTCCTTGGATATGATTCGAATGACAAGAGCGCCTCAATCCCGTTAATCCATCTTCATAAAATTAGTTTGACGGAGTAGTCTGGAGTGTGGGTTGTTTTTATAGTAGGAGTGTAGATGCGGTTGGGAAATAAAAATTAATGAGTAGACGGTAAAAGGGAGAGAAGCAGGATGGAATAGAGTTGGATAGAGAGTTGTTATTCTAGGGTGGGACTTGGAAGAAAAATAAGAAACTGCGTGTTAAGCTGGGGGTTGAGAAACCGGAAGAGGAAGTATAAAATGGGCTTAATTTTCTGATTGATCGCATCATGGTTGCTGCTTGAGGTCAGAACGCTACACATCAGGAAGTGGATAATAGCAGTACTTCTGTTGGAAAGTAGAGTACTGCTAGCTTGATTATAAATATTCATAGATTGTTTGGATAGTAAGAAGAGTCTGAGTAGGGGATTAGAATGGCAGTGAGAAGTGTGGATAATGATGATGAAAAACCACAATACTGACGAAGAAAATTTGAAGCGCGAGATATAGCGATAAGTATATTATAATTAGAGACGTTTTAGTGTTGAAGATTATATACGTATATATGTCGGAAATGACAACAACACTAGCTCCGATTAGATTGGTGAGTTCAGATATCCTTTTGTGTGAATGAGAGGTGGTTGGAAGATTTTTATGATATGTATATAATGAGCTATAGAAGTGGAACTATGCATTTATGAAGTGGTGATTTGAGAGATTATGGATATATGTGTAAGATTTAGTGATAAACTACCGAGAGCGTTAAGTGAATATGTGTAGGTTAGTTTATGAGCTGGTAAGATTTGATTTTATCCTATGATCCAGAATATAGAAAGAATTGGGTTTGTATTGTGGTGACTGTGGGTCTGTAATATGTGATGAGAAGTGATGGCTGTGGAGATGGCGTAGTTTGGTAAGGATGAGAGGATTTAATGATAGTATGAATAAATCTCATAAGAAAACAAGTAGAACAGGGATGAGAGCTAAATATGAGTTATGATAGTAGCAAAATGAAATAGCGATGGTGCTTCATTTAAAGAGTGTTTGTACAATACCAAACAATTTGGAGGTCCTGAAAGCTATACATTCTTGAACGGGAATATTGCTGAGATAGTAGTGAAAGGGCACTTGTCACTGGCAGCACGTCAATATTAGATGAGACATTATCACATGAAAAGTCCACATTATTTGCATTACAAGAGACTTAAGTGTTGAGGTATAGAATTGATATATATTAATACAAGATTATAAACTATTTCCATTTGTGTACAGAACATGTGACAAACTTCAATCTCCACAAACAATCATCGCTGACCCCAGATACGCTCTAATGAGAAGCAAAACCTCCGCTACAATCCCAAAAATAATGTCCTCCAAACGGAATGAATATCCATGCGCTTAAGAAGAGTAATAAGCGATTCCGGCAGAGATCGCATCACCAATAACCTTAGCGGCTGCTTCAGCTCTGGGGATGACATCCTCGGAGGTTCTCTTGATCAAGAGTCCACCGAAAGTGTTGTAATCGCTCTGTAAGACTACCAACCACGCGAGAACAACTGTTCTTTGATCACTTGTGAAGAATTCTTTTTTGGCTTTCAAAGCGTCGATAGCGTCGGGGATGTCGATAGACAAAGTCTCCTCGATGGTGACTACGACACGGGTGGAATCCTCTGAATTGGCTGGATCCTCGAGAGCTGCATCGGTGACTCCTTGCTGATTTGCGACGTGGAGAGATGTGAAGTCGACGTCTACGGTAGAGGAATCAAGAGTTTTCTCTTTCACTTGGCCGACGGCACTAGTCAAGATGAGGACTTGGGCATCGATATTGGTGATGTCGGTGATGACGCTATCGGCGGTAGTAACAGATTTGACCGCTGCGGCAGGAGCTGCTGAGACGGCGACGGCCATGGTGGCAAGGTAGAAGGCAAGAGCTTTGATGGAGACCATGATTGCGATTGTTGGCTTTTGAAGCGAAGAGTGAAGATAGATATTAAGCTTGGTATTGAACTGGATGTGAAGATTGATGCTTTTTGAAAAAACGAGAGATCTCACTCTGGTATTTATAACATGCCTCAACGACTGGTGAAGCTCATCATCATCCGCAAAATGATAACATCTTGAAGATCTACAGAACTAGTCGATCTCGATCGTCCGGCTTCTACACTTGTAGAATTGAACTCTGGGAAACTAACGGAGAACGCCTCAGTAGATTGAGGCTCAAGATACTGGTGAAAAGTCAAGGAAGATCTAAATCTGGTCTGTTCAACACATAGCTTCCGGTCACCGCTTGGGACCAAATTGTACGATTGCTGGTGCGCTCACTCCAAGGAAATCTTCCATGAAAATAGTGTTTGTTAATCCAAATTTGTGTTTTCTCGTATCCAGTCTTGCTATATCAAAGTTTTTATTCGGCGGTGAGGTATTCCGGTCGTCATGGAAGCTTGATCGCGTCCATTACGACGGATGCGAAGTTGGACTTTAGATGGAAGAAAAGTGGTCAAAGTTCTGGTGTGATTAAGTAATCCCGCTATGTAAACTTGGTCTAGACTTACTCAATGACTTAGCGCGCGCTCTGCAGTGCATGCTACGCTAACTTTCTAGTGAATGAGTGTCTTCAAGAGATATAGAGACCCTCGAACCTTGACACTGACTTTTGCCAGTCTTTCAGATTTGACGCGTCTTTGATTACGGAATTTCATTGCAGAGACGAGAAGATTTATGATTGCCTAGGTTAGGACCTTCACCTACAGTACTGTTGACACATAGAATCAGTATCTCGAACTGAATTTGACAATTGATTATTAATAGATGTTCGAGAAAAGTTACAGAAGACGTCCCGTAGACACATGCATATCATAGAAACAAAAAAGCTTGCAAAAAGGTAGGGAAACACCACAAGAAGATGCGTCAAACATGATACACAGTAAGACTTGATAATGATCTACAATGACTATTGTATAAAATCGATAAATAGCGGTGGGATGAAGGGAAATGAAGCTAATGCCACCCTAAATCAATCCGAGCTAAACCTTATTTCATCGTCGATCCACTAATTGATGTTCCATTCCAGCGCTTGTTTCACATTTCATCTGTACCTGCATTGTATCTTTGAAGGTTTCAAGACTTTATACTTCCATTTTTGGACCAAGGACTTTGTAAGAGTTCTGGAACCTACTTACTGTACATGTAACGCTTTTCCGGCTAAAATATGGGATTATTCAACTTTTTATACCCTAGTTTATTTATTATAATCAAAAATAAAATTGAAAATTCTCTTGAAAAATGTTATTTAATTAATCAAATTTAATAGAAAAATGAATAGAATATTTTTTTCTAATTTTTTAAATAGGATTTAAAACAATTAAAATTGAAAACTCTAAATTTTCATGAAAATTCGCTTATTTTATATGGAAAAAACATTACTTGTTAGAATTTTCGAAAATTTTCGATTTCAATTCCAAATAATTAATCAACAAAAATAATAAAAAATATTTCAATTAATTTTTTATATTTGGATTACAATTGTTTATTATTTCTGATTTTTTTCAAAAATAAATATAAAGATTCCAATTAAACATTAGATTTATTAGTTTATATAAAAAAACTTATTTTTTGTGGGGATTTTGTTATATTTGTTACAGGGGTGTGGTAAGTAGGTTCCAGAACTCTTACTATGTAATGAAATAGCTCCATTAAAAAGAGATGGCCGGAGACGAGATGGGAAGGAAAAGGGGACGGACTCTAGAAGATAGTCACAATTGAATTAGACAATGATTAGATTCCGGATTAAAAGTCTGATACATTCCGTGTAGACTGAAAAACGAAGCAGAGGGGATTGAATGGTATAATGGTACAATTAAACATCTTGAATGTTAATCCTCATTGAAGATGGCTATGGCATCCTTCTAGGGCAGTCTCCTATCAAACATTACACCTTCCGCTCATATTAATGTAGTTGCTTAAGTTCAACCTCATTACTGTGTCCATTCGGATAAGGTATATCTTCATCTTCAGGCACTGACCATTTCTGATAGACCATCTCACCATGTTGTACAAAATGTCCTTCATTATCAATACCAATAACGGGATCTCTCTTCACTTCCAATACAGCGCCACCCAAAAACAAAGGGACTGCAAAACGAAAGACCACGTAATAAATGAAACCAGCTAAGACGAGTGTCCATCCGATTGTGGGAACAATGTACCAAGGTATTGAACTTTCAGAAGACGATTCTGGAATCCATAGTGCGGCAACTGGAAATGCATTGGCAACGAATACAATAATTGCAGTCATGAGACTGAACCACCTGTTTGTGGTGGAGTATGTGTTCCATTCATCTGTCTCTCTTGATCGCATCCATATCATGCCAAAACTGAGACAAATTGCGACCATCGCATCAATTGGGTATGTGTAAATTTCTGCCAGAAGCTGTCAGTAAATATTTGGAAGGTGGAGAACAAAAGTGAGATTCGAAAGTTCACTTACCAACAAGTAATGGGTAAGCATCCCTGGACCGAGGGACCTGAATTGAGGCAAGAATCAGAATCGTGGAGAATGCGCAGTGAAGTACGAGAGCTGGAAATGGAATGGGCTCGAATTCGGCTCGTTCTGGCGTGGTTGTGACTCCTCCCTGTGGAAGATGCTCAACCGGCTCTCCTACTTGTTCCGATCGCTTCAGTTTCTTGGTTGCCCATTCAATAATGTTGACATTCTTGGCAAAGACCAAAGAGAATGGAAGTATTCCTTCTTTCGCAATCTCCTGCTTGACACGAGCAGCGGTAAAAGTAGTGACAATGACGTTGCCTAAGCTTGAGACAGCGAGACATGCATCCATCAGTTGACTTGCTCGCCTTTCATTCCAAGCTTGGCCAATGGTTCGTTTGAAGAATTGTTCGACCACTGATTCACCATCTGGGAATTTTCCATCCTGTGGGACTACTATTACTATCATCTAGAAGTGTTGTCAGCCTGATTTCATTGACCCCTCAAGATTCATACAAACATATGATATGTTAGTTAACAAATACAATAGACACATGAGTCCAACGGTCCAAAGAGAAATGCCTCGAAACCTAGTGGTTGGCTTCTTAATTTCACCGAGTACCTAAAAGAGTGTCAGTCGGACTACAAAGGTTGGCCGATACGGTACCTACATAGTTTGCTTGGTTCCACCCGCCGCATGTGAATATAATATTGAGGTATGCGGCTGCAAACCCACGAGCGTGGTCCCCTTTTCCTAGTTTTTTGAAACTGGTACTTGTATCGAGGTTACTGTACGATAATGGGTCGCGATGGAAGTGTCCAGTATGATTGTTGAGTACCATAAAGCCCAGTATAATTATCATAATGAGCATTGAGACCTTTGTCACAGCAAAAACACTGTTCAAGTGAACACCAAACATCCTGCCTAAAGCATGCAATAAAGTAACGAGCCAGGCAGTACCAAGTGCGATTCCATGCACTGCGCCTTTTGGTGGATCATTCATTCCTGCTGCCGCAAGACAATGAACTGCAAATGAAACGCAATTGGCGGCAGAATTTCCGACGACTACGAATATGAAGCCAAACATACAGATTGCCATGTATTTAGGATGTTTCGCGAGGAATTTAATGTAGTTAAGTTCACCACCACTTCTTGGAACAGCTTGAATTTCGCCAGCCATTTTGCGCCGTGGAATCGTAAGGCCATACTCGACGTACATCAAAGTGCCAGCCATGCTGGCTATAAAGCCCAATGTCCAGAGAATGAGACTCGCCCCGATATTATGATCTTGTTCTAAAATAGTGGTTGGCGACTCGAATATCCCCGTTCCTGAACATGTGTGAGTAATGATCGCTGCAGAGGCAAGCTGGTTTATATGGGAGCGACATACCCATCATCCGATTTATTATGATACAAGCAACTTGGAAACGACTTAACAAATCTTTGTCCTCTGGAGATTTGGTGAATTCCTTCGAAGAGTTACCGATAGCCTGCTGCTCGTCCAAGTACATCAAATCATCAACGCTGAGGCCACCAATACTTATGTTGCTCTGGTCTTGATGCAAACTTTCCGAGTGTACCGCCATGGTTGGTGACTGTGGTTGCGCCGGATGTCCCATTTGATCAATTCAGAGGTCTTGTTTGCGATGAAGCGCAATTTATATGCAAATTAATATCAATTGGCTACATCGAAATGTTGCGTAGTTCAAATATGAAGGAGAGATTGGCTGGGCCATGACGGTTCTGAAGTATTTGAACTAGGCCTCGCCCGCACCCGTAAGGGCTTCGGTGAGTTATTTTGTGTGACAGCCTCATTCTTGATATCTTGTCGGATTGAGACAAGGACAAGAAGCCAAGTTCGCAAAATGAGTGAGATTGGGTCACACTCACGAGGGTGGCAGGGGGGGTTATTTATCAAGACTATTGCCTGCGCCTCCGCGCCCCTCATTCTCTCTAGTCGCACAACGGAACGATAGCTTCACAGGGCTTCGGCGTAGAGTATTCATCTGACAGAAAGATAAATATGGAATTGATAGGATTTGCTCATATTTTCATGTGTTAAGCCGCTATAAAATAATCCGTGTCGTCATTCCATCAAACTACAGCGGTATGATAAGCGGATGGTGGAAATACAATACCTACCTAGGCTCGTAGGCAGCTAGCATTGTAAACAGGGCTACACACTACATTCTGAGAGAGACAAGTACTTGTTATTTTTCACAACTTTCTTTCTAATTGTTGCTGTCTCTATCGCTCTCTTTGCTTTTAACATGATACTACTGCGCGCGATATTGTGGAAATCTCTTGATAAGGGACAAGGTTATGATGATGGAATTTTTTGACCACATGAGGGCCCTTGCTGATAAGCTTCACGATCGCACTCGTATCTCTCTGCCTCGTAAGCAATATCTGTATGCAAATCGTCGCCGGATTTCTAATTTTCGACAGATTCTTACGATTCGAAGTCCGACAATAATTTGGAGGAAGAACTTGACGAACTTATCAAGTATCTATCAACAATCCACGCCCGTTTTCTCGATGTTCAGGGTACCTCGGGCCAGAATGGCGATCCTCGTTCGTCTGGGGACCTTATCAGAATCTTGACCAGCGTTCATGGAAATCTCCAAGTTACATTGCAGTTGATAGAAGAAGAAGACGCGAAGAATTATACAGCGACTGAAAATGTGTTTCTCTGGAAGTCAGAACTGTTAGATTCGGTTACGGAAGCCATAGCCATTGAAAATCACAAATTGAGAGTATTGCTCTGCACATTCGACCCGTAAGTATCTTACCGCCAGCCGATGAGCCTTGCACATATTGACTCTTCCACAGGGATGCAAATGTCGAAGCTGCCATTCCTCTACGATGGATAGAGTGGAGATCGCAAAAAATTGAGGGCTACGTCGAAACAGAAATACAAAGATGTGGGAGACAGGGACGCGAAATAAGCCGACTAGATGGTTATAATTACCAATTCAAGTGGAACAAATTGAACGATGCAGAATACTTGAGCCATATATCTGGAGACAAACTTTGCAAAGTTTCGGCCAAATCTTGGGAAGCTTTTATTCAATGTTTCACTCGAAATCTACAAATCGCACAAGAAGAGTCTTGTGAACCTTCTGATAGGTGGATACATCTTATGATTTGCTCGCACTACTTGATGTCTGCTCGAGGATCGGTGGAGTATCGCCAATTTGCGACACATTTCAGACATCCACAAGATTTATGTATCATTGATACGGGCTTCACTTTACATCATTATATAACGGAGCTGGAAATCGTGAGTAGCTGCCACTCTTTGATTCACTTAAAGCTGACAATCCACAGCTGCTCTTTGGCATTCTTACTGAACTAGACACAGAATACCTCAATCCTGATGCTGTTCAAGAAAGGACCAAAACAAATCACTCACAGCAATCGACGCCCTCAATCCCTCAAACTCCTCCTCTAGTACAAGATAGGCATGAAAGTATCTCAACTGGGTCGACTCAATCCATGAGCATCGATGAATACGGAGTTCTTTTCAAATAGTAACACGATCGGTAATTCCCCGATATATTCATGTACAAATACTAAAACTTGTTAGTCAACTCGGTGGCGAGCAAAATGGTCATGTAATGAAAATTCGAATAGATGCAGAGGGTGCATTGACTTTGGATTTCGACGAGGAATTACATCTTTGGCCTAACACCCTCCGGGAGTTCAGAGAATTGTAAGTCTGCACAATTAAACTGATGACTTGGTGATGATTTCTAATTCCGTCGCAATAGAGATTTACGAAGAGCTTCTATTCATCCCAATTATCTTACCCCTGGAATTTACATGTGTGATTTGACCCTAGAGAGAAAATTACGTGGAAGAACCGAAATCACGAGAGGCCGTTTGTTCTTCCAAAGCTCAACAAATTTGAAGGAATTTCAAAGGGATCTGACGGGATATAAGGTTTTAATAGACTTGTTTGTTCTTTCAATATCGTCTAAACATCAATGTCGCTAATTTTTCCACAGTCAACGGGGCATCAAACTTCGGACCCTTGAGAAGTATCAGTTTGAAAGCAAGAATGCAATTACCGGAAGACTACAAATTTGGCTCAAAGACTTTAGCAGGGGACATGATTCTACTCAAGCTGGCGCAGGCTCTTCGCTTCGTAGAGCATCGACATCTCTCTCAACCATGAGTGGGACCACTTTTGCTTCGATAGCCACACTGAAAGCACAACAAGCTATTCCTGGCTCACAACTAACTACTATTGACGAAGGCAGTGGCTTACAAATAGAAATGCCCGTTCCTCCACTTGTCATTATGTTTGTTGAATCGTCGTCGAGAGATGGGAAGATCCAACGAGGGCAGATCTTAGCATTCAAATGTAAGCAAGCTGAGTTCTATCTCAATCGGTTACTAAAACAATCTTAGTTGCAGAGCACTCAAAGCTCGACCGGAAAAAATGCAAGCCTGATGACAAGTTTCCTCGCTGCTTTGTACTTCACCCTGTTCGTTGCGACCTTGAGATTGGACCTTTGAAATTTCCTCAAAATCCGAAAGAACTCAGCTGGCTCGAAGTCACTTTTTCAAATGATGAAGGTAAACTATGACTTGGTAACAATTTTCGTGACAAATGCTGAAATGTTGTTTACAGAAAGGGAAATTTTTACTAAACAACTTGAAGATGCAAGAAAAATATACCATCGACGTATGGAACAATATAACAAGGGCTTGAAATTTATGCGCCAGGGTCGTCATAATACCAAAGAATACGGCGTGGATTAATAACGATCAATAATGTATAATCTTTCATGATTAACGAAACGAAGGCGATGAAATTGGTAGCATTTAGTGCACCGTGTATATATCTTTTGGGTTCATATGCCTTTTGTATATATTATGATTTCACTTGCTGAAAATCACCTCATAATCTGAGTTTTCCCTATATACATAATGGTTTCTCGTCAATGGGCTAAGCTAGTGTTGTCTCCAACTCATCTTCGGAAAGAAAGGTGCCTCTTCTCCTTGGTGCCGATGGTCCACTGATAATTGTATCACCTCTTCTTTGGGAGGATTCATCTACTGAGGTGGATTGAACGCCGTTCCTCCGCTCTGCCAAGCTACAGACCATACCATCTATGTTGCTTGAAACATCCTCGTAAAGTAGGTCAGATCTACTGCTGTATTTTACCATGCCAGAATGGTCGGAGTTTAAAGGTAGATTTCGTGCACCTGGTGTCGCACTATCTTCTACCATGAGAATTTTCTCGCCTACAATCCCGTTACGCTATTTACATTGTTAGTCGTCCGAAATTTATCATCTAAGAAAGTCTTACTGTTCGAGGCTGGGAATAATGCCTCTCCCAGAAATACAACACTTCTGGTGCATGCGAAGAGGATCTTTCTTTCCGCTTGCAGCAGCTCTCAAATCTGTGTTTTAACTCGATGAGATAAGCGGATGGTGTCCCGTTCTCACGATCACGACATAATTGACCGATCAAAACCTTGTTTGGCTGTGATTTTACAGCTTCAATAAGAGAAGGATTATTAAGACCTGCTATTGGGATACCAAAGCCGACAAGTCCGTGCCAGAAGTCGAAAATCTCCCGCTCGTATGGATCACGACTATCTGCAGCTCTAAGAAGTGACTAAACAGCGTGAGATTAGCATCTACACCTAGAACTCGAGACAAAACTTACTTCCTGAACTATCAGACCCCCAAGACTTTGTCCAATAAAGATTATGGGACGATTTCGTGTCTATAACTCGTGTTAGCAGCAGTCCGTAGCGGCTTAAGCGAGAGAGGTATACCACCTACCGTGGTGTTTCTGCGAAGTAGTGTCAATCTGTTTAAGAAAGTACTCGCTATATCCTCGACCTTTTCCATGGATTGGCCCCCAGAAACAGTGGACGGATACCCATATAAGAGAATGCGAGTGTTTGGGATATCTTTCGGAAGGAAATCTCTCAACCACATTTCATGACTACCAGGAGTTGTGGAACGGAAAGTCCCAAATGCGTGCGTTCCAAGACCCACCACAGCTACGATACTGCAGTTTACGTCAGCCATTAGAGCGAGTCGAGTGAATGATATACATATACATACTCCACATCAGCTTGCAACCTCGCATTATACAAAGTTGTGAAGTTCAGGAAGTCTGCATCATATTGTATCTCCGGTGCATCTGAACGTGATTGGCGTGCTAGGATAACTTTTGGCAATTGCTCCGTTGGAAACCCAAACTCTTCTTTCGGGAATGTGGCGGTAGCACAAAGATGTTCTCTTGTATGGAGTGCGAGACTTTGTATCTTGGGTTTGCTGCGGAATTCCTTCTGAACAATTATCTCAACAACTTCTCTCGTGTATGTCACGGGTATGTTCTTGATACGAATAGTATCTGGTCTGTCTTTTTTTGCAGGTGGTTGGGGGACTTTCTCTGGATCAGAACTTGGAGGTTGCACTAGCCCTTTTCCTTTGTCTGACTTTGGTAGAGGATCGAGTTCTCGCAATAAAGCTTGGACCTTGAGACGACAGAGATTATGTACTTTCTTTAATTCTTAGTGGTATTTCAAGTGGTTATAACATGCTGAAATACCTGTAGTTCCTCAGATTTCGGCGCCTCATTGCCTAGTAGTTGGACTTCATAGTCATAGTTCTGCGCTCCGGACTAAATGAAACGTTAAATTTACATTTAACCCGAGCATTTGATGACAAATACTGACAGCAGACTTCTTTCGAATGACTTTCGCATGTTTACCGAAGAACTTTTGAACAATGCTCTCAATGGCAACGGTACATTCTTTTCGATCACCGGAGACGGTGCATACGCAACGCAAAACATCGTCTGAATTTCGACTCATTGGAAAGACACGCTTTTGATTATACTTGTTCGAAAAAGATAGTAGATTATGTAAATAGAAAAATAAATTTGTTGAGGTATTCCGTACGCGGGATCTGTTAATATGCCTCGACTAGGCTGCAAGGTATACTTCAATGATGAGGCTCAATGTGGAGAGAATACTCGAGCTGATCATTTTACTTGGTTTACTTGGTTCTCGGGGGCTGTGACCCAATGCGGAATCCCTCACATGTACCCATGCATCCTCGGCGTAGTTGTGTGACTAGTCATATGTCTTATCGCTCAGCCCAAAATGTTCGCCCTATGGAATGAAGGCATGCCACCAGGGCAGTGCTCAACTCGTGGTATCGATGTAAACTCGGTGAGGGGTTTGATAAAGAAGAGATGATACCAGGTAATTGGAAACATTACTGCATCAATTCTCAAACTTTCTAACAACCTTCACTGCAATGTCTCCTTTCCGTAAATCCCCAGCGGAAAACGTGGAAAAATCAAGCCGAGTCCCGTCTTACAGGTCAGCTGACTATCCAAACCCCCAATGGCAAGAAGAAGTGAAGATAAAAACGCCTCCATTTGGCACATCAAGCCTTGCGACAGAAACAGAAACGACTAGTTCTTCAATGATATTACCCCAACCGCCAATAAACATTGACGATGTGTGGCGAGAAGTACGAGCACTCGAACGCCACAGGTTCGCATCATCTCGGTACCGCAAAGTCGGGAAGACTATAGAGCCGGTTATAGATTTTTTAACGAGATTTTCTCCTATAGTTGATATGATGGTTCAGGGAACTAGTAGTGCTTCTTTAGTGTGGGGTTCATTGAAAGCTGTATTGATGGTTGCTCAGACTTCGGCTACTTATTTTTATTATATCGACAATGCGATGTTGAAGCTTAGCGACATCCTTTCTATATCAAGTCAGTATGAAAAGATGTTCGCGACGGAAGTCCGTGTCAGAACTGCGTTGTCGGATTTATATGATGAAATTTATCTATTTCTGGAGAAAATACGAAAGTCGGTTTCTGTTAGCTGTTAGTAAAACCCCCACTGTTTTCTTTTATCCGGTCCTGACAAAGCTTTAGCATTGAAGGTCTTTCTCAAGAATTTGAGAAAGTCTTTCGACGCAGAGTTCAAAGATAATCTGGAACATATTGAAAGGTATACTCGGGTTTTCAATGATGAAATCACTCTTGCGCATCGGGAGAGGATGGATGTCTCGACTAAGAAAATCCAACAAATAGTTGGAACTATTGCTTTAGACAATATAGATCTTGCGAGCCGAGTAGATAGTCGAGATGCATATCGTGAGTCGAGCCATACCCATACTAGTCTTTCATTGGACTTCCTATACTTCCTATACCAGTCCGCTGACGAGCAAATGTAGACACCAAAGATGCAATATTGAAATGGTTAACCCAGGTTGACTCTAGAGAAGATTTTTACCGAGCTCTGAAGAGACGCTCACCAGGAACCGGAGTGTGGCTTCGAGACGATCCAAGATTCCGGAGCTGGAGACGCTGCACCGAACCTTCGAATGACCGTTCGATATTGTGGATTCATGGCCGGCCGGGATCAGGCAAGACCGTGCTAAGTACCACTGCCATTGAGCACCTTCAACTTAAGTCAGAAAAGAGTTTGGAAAGATCGGAGAATGAAATAGCCTCTGTGGCTTACTTTTACTGCGATTCCGGAGATGCCAGAAAAAGATCGACGTTAGAGATCCTCGGATCAGTTTTGGCACAGTTGATTGCACCACTGCATGACTTTCCAAGCGGAGTCAACGAAGCGTATGAACGAGCGAGAAAGTATGGAAGACAGCATTTATCAACTGCAGACGATATTATCTCCGTCATCAAACTCGTGGTACAAGACTCTCCATCTTGTTACATTATTATTGATGGAGTAGATGAATGCAGTGATCCAGGTGATCTTTCAAAAACATTTTCGGATATTGCAACAGGCTCGCACAATGTTCGGTTAGCTCTTTTTTCTCGCAATCTTCCTGCTATTGTATTTGAGCTAGAGAAAGTGTCCTATGCAATGATAGAGTTGGAACCTTCTCTAGTACAGCCAGATATTGATAACTTTTTAACGAAATCATTGGACTGTTTACCTGGGAAAGGTACAGGGGCACAAGACCAGGCATTCTCAAAACTGTCTAATGCTTCTGGTGGTATGTTTCTATATGCTGCTCTGGGAATCCAAAGTCTAGCCGAAGCAATTGATTCACAGAGTGTTTTGGATGCTATTGAAAGAATACCCGAAGGACTCAACGGGTTTTATGGTCAGATACTCGAGAGATTAGGTTCACAAAGTATTCGAAGACGGGATCTTGCTCGTAGAATTCTTTTGTGGGTTTGTTGTACAACAAGACCACTATCCTGGAAAGAGCTCCAGTGTGCTCTGTCTTGGGATGAGATAAAGGAGGAGTTTATAGAAGATCAACGGCCTTTTAAAGATGCCGTGCTCGATCTATGCGCTCCTTTGATTGAGTATCGGCCAGAGAAAGATACATTTCATCCAGTTCATACATCAGTTCGCGACTTCTTATGGAGGTCCCATAGTTTCGACTCCATGTCAGCGAAAGCAACTCAGTTTCTCATGACCGAGTCTTACGCACACCAGACTATTGCCGAAGTGGTACTAGCTAGCCTCTCACTACCAGATGTTATACATAACACCCAGGTTGATGACTTTCAATATCCATTGGCGAGATATTCCACAGAAAACTGGTGTCACCATTTATCGTCAGCGTCCTTTGAAGAGAAAGTATGCCAAAAATATGACAAATTTGCGGATTCGTCTTTAGCGCGATCGACATGGATCCTACGTTTTCTTCTCTCAAATAGACAGTCGTTTCCCTTGCAACGTATAGCAAAGTATCAAAAACAGGTCAATGATTGGAAAAATCACAAAGAAAGCTCAACTACCACTTTTTCTGCGGAGGATTTAGCTGATATACAACGAGCATTGATTGAATTGGACCAACTGGACCTCGGCCAAGCAGAATCTATCTCAAATTTTGAGCGCGATCTCATTGTCCGGGATCTGGCACGGGCTTTCACAATGGCAGGGAAAGTAGACCAGGCAATTGATATGTTCGAAAAGGCCCTTGCCCAAGGACTTCCAGGAGACCCATCGCCAGAATCTGTCCGCACCACCTGGCTTTTGAATAGTCTTGGTATAATGTATGACCAAAAGAATCTTACTGATCTTGCTTTGCGCACGCAATTAAAGGCTTTATCCATCCAGGAGAAGTATCTTCCACCTGATCATCTCGATCTTGCATTAACATTGAACGAATTGGGTCGAGAAACACGACATCTTGAGAGATACTCAGAGTCCGAACAATACCATCTCCGCGCCCTCAATATTCTGCGCCAATCTCTTCCCGAGACCGACTTACAAATAATTTGGACCCTCAATACCCTCGCTCGTTGCTACCGCTTCCAAGGTCGCTACCCTGAAGCACTCGCTCTCCATCAGCTTGCACTCAATGGCCAAATCACACTAATGGGGGAAGATCATCCACATCCCATTCGCACGAGATCAGATATCGCGAAAGTATTGAAAGCGCAAGGTAAATTCAGAGAAGCGTTGGAAATCATGGAAGATATGTATGAGAGAAGAGTCAGAGTACTGGGAAATGATAATCCTGATACGTTGTGGACGATGAATGATATTGGGATGGTGTGGGAGGAGATGGGTATGGATAGTGGGGATGTGGAGTGCAGAATAAAAGCAACTGAGTGGCATGAAAGAGCGTGGAATATACAAGTGAGAGTACTGGGGGAGGAGCATAAGCACACGGTTTGGAGTCAGGCAGTTTTGGAGAGGTTGAAGGGGATGGAAAGAATGGGCGATGCTGTTGCAACTTCCTGATTTGGATGAGAGACTTAGAACTCCATCTGGTTTATTTTTATGATGTTTAATAAGATGCATGGCTTTGAAGTAGAATTCAGCGATTCGAAATGGTGTGTTTTGCGCGAGGTAAAGACACTTTTTCTTCTGAGTGAATCAGATAGCTTCAATTTAGCAAATATATTTCATCAAAAGTATCTGACACTATTGCGACAGGGTGACCTTGCGTGATACCTTAAATGAATGTGATCTCGGGGCGGGTGAGGAGTGGTGAATATGGCGAGTCAAGTTCATTGACTCGATTTCAAGAATCCACTATAAAAGGTTCTCCATTTTCCATAATCTGATAAAGCAAAACTTAGAATGAATCACCGCCATTCCACTGACAGGTGCTCGAGATTTAAAATCTCATAAACCAAGATTTTGAAATTGAGTAGTCATATGGATGTCGAGTCAAAATTCTTTGTCTTTGTCACTTTGTGCGCGGCATATCAGCTGCGGCATCAACACTTGCATCTTCAATTGACAATAAACAGCTCTACTTACGAAAATTGATATTGAAGTTTTGAAGTGATAACCAATAGTGAAGTTGATGCCATTTCCAGAGAACTCATTCATGACTGGAATGAGAGCCAGACCCTCCATTCTTGACCTGTAATTTCGATGCACGCAGTTTATCCTAAGGTAGTCCACAGATCCGTCTTTTTTCGAGGGTTTGAAGAGACCTATTCATAACTACAAGTCTCTTATATAGGGCTATCTCTCTTTCTTTCTATTTTTCTTCAAGAAGAGCCTGATTGGAATTGAGATGAACAGAGAAAAATAGGACATGGTTTCAGTAAATATCCCGTTATTGCACGTGTGTTACGAATGCACCAGTCCTCCAGATACAGATATAACTGGATATAAAAGAGCTAGAGGCTCTCAAAAGTCGAAACTCGAAATCAATTACATGCTGGCGTGAGCAAATCAAGGTGCGGAGTGGTGAAAATTTGCATGATGTCCTTTTTAGAAAGATCACCCCTGGTTCTTACTTTCGAAGCAGAAAAGAAAGCTGAAATGGAAGAATGACGACTAGATTAAAGCTGATGATTTTCAATGGCAATGAGAGTGCACTTCCGTGATGGCGAGAAATTTAGCATGTGAATGAATGGACTGGCTCGCTTAAACGCAATAACTCTTCCAATTTTAAAAGCGATCACGAATTCAGGGTTAAAAGATAGTGTCTGGCTACGATAGATATTACAGAGCTTCTCATCTATAAAAAGAGCTTCGCAACACATATGAGGGGATCTTACTAGGCGAAGATGAGTATGTAGGATGTGCGAAGTCTGTAAGGATTGCTACTAAGTAGTCGCTCGAAACATTGTGTGGAACTACTAGTAGATGCCCCAACTATAACTTCGGACTTGATTCTACACTGAATCACAAATAAACCACAAGTAATACAAACTCGCAACTAAAACTGAGCAGCTGAGTAATCCAGCCAAATTTCAAACAACACATATGGCTATAAATTAATCCAAACAAGTTCCTCAACGCAACCAACTTCGCATTTGAATTTCATCTGTCTGCTCTTGGTGCACAATTTTCACTCTGGTCTCAGGCAATTCCAATCTCCGAGTAGATTATTTGTGAGCGGTATAAGAGCGGAAGAAACATAGCAATAAAGTCATATCTTAGCAGCGGAAATCTTCGGTAGCAGAGATGGAGGTAAGACGTTTAATAGTCACGGTAATTATGATGCTTCCAGTAGAATTTAACAACAAACCACGATATAGATACTAGCTGTTTGAACCCAAAAGTGTACGTCCGATTTGATGGATCGAATGGAAAGACTGGTTTGCTTATTTTCTCTGATCGGAGTAAGGAATAACCATTTCGTGAGAACGTTATTTGAGTACCGAAACGGGAACCTATGGATCATTTATATAATACATTTTTCTTTTAGGATTCCAGATACTAGCAGCCCCAGAGCTTGCCGATCTGAGCGTGTGAAATGACACTTTTGATCATCGAGCAAAAAGCGGCAACTCCACCTTTTTGCATTCCAAGCTCACATAAATGTTAGACTATAAAATCTTCTGAATTTTCTAATAAATTCTATAACAACAAAACCATAACATCCCAGCATAATTGAGAAGGAAGTGTACGCAGACGACGTGGAATTTAGCAACATGATCACAACAGTATGTCACGGTCTTTCTAAAAGAGAATCACATGCATCTCAACACCTATGAGACCATTAACAGAGCGATTTTGGTAATGATAATAATAGGATCTGACAGCAAGCCAATTTTGATGACACCATCCCTTTTATATAATCTTTCAATGGTATCAAACCCCTTCAATATGCCCCTCAAACACCCGTTCCATACCAGAACATAACAACCGAGGAACTCAAGCCTGGCTGAATACTTTCTGTCCACATTCCTAGATTATCTTCGTCAATTTGTGCGTCACTCGCTGGACTCCAATACTGAATTATCGATTGATAACGTGTTGACTATTATATGATTTCGACAAGCATGATTAAAATGGACGATTCATCGACAGTGAGAAAGGTAGTGCGTGACAACAGCCGCTTTCAATGGTGGTCAATATTATGATATGTCTGTCCAAAATAACTACTATTCTAGAATAGAAAGCGCGGATTAGGGTAGCATAATTTATTTCACCAGAGACGCGCTACGGACGCTGAAATTCCTTGCAGCATGGTTTACTATATCCAAGAACCTTTTAAGGGTATCCGTGGCTTAGAAAAGGTTTAAAGAATCAACACAGAACGAGATACGCGCTACTTATAATTTCAAAATGTTTTCTCAAAAAAAGCATTCACTACTCAGAACGAAGATGGGAGAAACTTAATGCACAGCTTGCGAATTTCACCTCTGTGTTTGATATACACTACTGTAATTCCACGTCCTGGCTATAAAACAGAGGCGATCAAGAATTGATCTGCTTATCGGGAAAAAACTGAATATCTAGCATACCCTGAGGGGTGAGTGAGAAGGAGGTATGTAGCTTAAGAATTCGCGTTATGTTTTCTGCAGTGTTTCTAATACTGGCAAATGCTCCATAGGTCATGAAGGATGGAAGCAAGAATAGCAGTAGAAATGCACATTAATTGACAATGATGAATATCTGATAGAAAACAGGTAATGATCATAAGCGCCGTTGACTATCTCGACCATGTATATCATGTATGAAGGATGTCGGAGAGAGAAATGCCCACCAGTGAACTCAAACCTTATCACACTTAATGGATGAAGAAGATAATCACAGTACGCAATATAATTAACGAAGGTTAAAAGATTGATATGATGAGCTATAATTGCAAACAAGGGTATTTGATCATTAAAGAATATGTTTCGGAGAATCAAAACCTCGCTTCTACCTTCTTCTCCACGTCACCCAAAGCCCAAGCACTAGTCTTCGTCTTACTCCTCACACTGGTAGCTTGCTGCTCTGTGAATCCTTTTGCCTCGACAGCTGGGTTATAACCCAACTTATTCTTCTTTCCAACTTCTGCAGAATCGACAGGAGCATTTGTTTTTCCATCGGCACGCTTGTAGACAGTCACCACAACGGCGCCACCCAATCCAAGATTGTGTTGTAAAGCTACTCTCGTATCATCAACCAATCGGTTGTTTGCCCATCCGCGAAGATGCCAGACAAGCTCAGCGCACTGTGCAATTCCTGAGGCTCCGAGTGGATGACCCTTTGAGATCAATCCTCCAGAGGGGTTGATGACCATCTTGCCGCCATATGTAATATCTCCAGCTCTCACCATTTCATGAGCCTTTCCTGGTGGAGAAAGACCCAAGGAGTCGATAACAATCATCTCATTGGCCGAGAAGCAATCATGCAACTCGCAGACTTTGATGTCTGCAGGTGTGACCTTTGCTTCCTCCATGGCAGTCTTTGCTGCAAATTGTGTCATCTCGAAACCCATAAGATCGATTGCGGATTTGGAGAATAAGGATGGAGCATCAGTAGCCATGCATTGGCCTGCGATCAATACTGCTTGTTCTTTGAGATGTGGGCGGGCATCGAGGAAATCTTGTGAAACTAAAACGGCTGCGGCTCCTCCATCTGATGTTGGACAGCATTGCAGTTTCGTGAGTGGCTCATGAATCATGGGAGCTTTCATGACTTGTTCCAGAGTATATACATCCTGGAATTGAGAGTATGGGTTTCGTTGTGAATGCTCGTGATTCACTCTCGCAATCTCTGCGAAATCTTCATTTTTGGCACCGTACCTATTTGTGATGAGGAGTTAGCTTTTTGGTACGCTATCAGAGATCGAGTAGTGATAGACGTACTTTTCCATATATTCTCGACCTGCATTACCAAACATTTGCGCAGCCCCGGGTGCATTCGTGACGCCTCTAGTGGCACGCATCATTTCACCCGATGTGCCAGTCGGATTACTACGATCATTCCAGAAACTCTGCAGCGAACCCGGATTCATCTTTTCAAATCCAACCACCAATATACAATCTGCACCCCCATGACTAATGACGTTTCTTGCCAAAGCCAATCCTGTTGAGCCTGTTGAACAGTTGTTGTTCACGTTGTAGATGGGGATCTGGGTCATTCCGAATTGATAAAAGACACGCTGTCCACAGGTCGAATCTCCATAACAATAACATGCCACTCCTTGGTCAACATCGTCGTAATTGATTTGTGCATCAAGCATAGCCTTGATACCAGCTTCAAAACCAAGCTCAGTGTAATCGACTTTACCCCTTGGTTTGATGAATTTGGTCATGCCGACGCCTAGGACGTAACATGGTTCGTTGCGCTTGATAACCATTTTGAGATTATGTATGACTCGAACAAGTTGCAATTATTACTGTGATTTCAATCGTGCAAGAATGGAATTGTCAAGTTGTGGTACAAATTTATAAATGAGAAATGGAGTTGATTAGAGAGCCTTATCATGTTCATTTCTGGGGTAACTTTTGCGGGGAAACTACCGAGGTTCGGAAGTGGACCGTTGCCGTTATATCCGGCAC